TTTGCTCGGGGCAAATATTGACTCATGGAGGCGGAGCGCCCCCTTCCCTCCCCCGCCCGGACTCAGAGACCGGAGCTCCTCCGAGGCCTTGGCGCAGGGGCGGAGGGGAGGGTGCCAGGGACCCGGGCGCCTCTGGAACAACACCAGATGTCACTTTTCCAACCACCTGCCTCCGGGCGGGAGGAGCCGGGAGGACGGAGGCTGCGGTGGGGGTTAAGGGAACCCAGAGGTGAGTCCTAGGGAAGGTGGACACCTCCTGGTCGGGGACGCAGTCACACTGGGAGTCGCTTAGTCGGGTCTGTGGCTCGCTGTTTAGCGATGACCTCGACCAGCCCCCGCAGCCTAGTTCCGTGCCCTCTCGGCGTGCCTCAGTTTCCCTTCCTTTCCAGCCTCTTAGCAGAGTTCTGGGAACCCAGTAAATGGTGAAACGCTGGCCCTCGGGTGCTGAGCCTTGGAGCAGACACAAGAGGCGACGAGAAGAGGTTCCCGCCCTGCCCCTTGGCCACCCGTTTCTGCTAACCAGGCCTGGCAGTCGGCTCCTGTACACCAAGCTACGTTCAGAGCGCCCTCCACTGTTCAGACAGGGCTCAGCGCTCGCCCACCCGAGGTGTGGAGGGGGAGCGCATCCACCCAGCTCCAGGGCCTGCGGGGCCACCGCGTCCACCCTGGCTGCCCCACTGTCCGTGTGGCTCAGAGCGCGCGCGCGTGAGAATTTTCTCCGAGTGGCGGGAAAGAAAGACCAGGTAGATGTAGAAAAAGGCTAGATGCTTTACTGGCCGGGCGGTGGAGAGGGGTCGGGAGAATCTAGGGCGGCAGTTCAGAGGGGCTGTTCGAGGGCATCAGCAGAGTAAGTAAGACGTGCAGCCACGGGTTCGGCTACCGACGCTGGCTGCATCCGCGGCAACGGATCTGGGGTCAGAGTCCTGTAAGACAGAAAGCCCAGGTGGGGTGAGCGCCAGGCTGTCCGGCCCTGCCCGCCCCTGCGGCCCCTCACGCCTCTCCCGTGAGGCCGCCGGCCCGCACCTGGGCGTGCTGAGAGGTGGCAGGGCAATGATGCGGGGCCTCGAGGTGAGCATCATTTCCCCGCGGCTCGCCTCCACCAGGATGTTCTGGATCATGTTCTCCAGCAGCGCCTCCCTCAGGTTGGCGAAGGCGAGTAGCCTGCAAAGGGCGGGAGTCGCGAGCCTAAGCGAGGCCACAGACCCGCGTGCGGGTTATGGCTGCTCTGCTCTGTGCCCTCAGGGTGCCACCGGTTCGCTGCGGATTCGCGGAACCCCCTGCCCCTCCCCCTGCACTATGGGGCATCCTGCGGCCAGGTCACAGATGCTCCATGAGTGGCTAGGGAGACCATTAAAATCTGAGCGTCACACCCAGGCAATGTGGGTGGCATCTCAGAGTCAGGTTTAGAGAAAGGCAGTGATGAGAGGGTGCAGAAGGGACTTCGTGGGGCCTAAGGATTCCCCAGAAAGGACAGAATGCAGCCTCAAGGGGAGGCAGAGCCAGAAGTGCTACTTCTTTGAAGAGAGGTTGCCGACTGTCACCTGGTTCCTGTAGTGATATACTGGGAAATTTTAACAAACAAGGCTCTTACAGGAGAAAATAAAGCTCATTATTCTGCCCCTCAGGCCATAGGCTACCACACGCTGAACCCACAGTCGGCAAGAGATGCACACAGGCAGGGACCAGCCTCAAATATTATTGAACACTAGGAACCTTCAGCATACAGCCTCCCTGCAGGTCCTCACCCAGTCAGACTGCTCACCTTCCAGTGGCCTCCTTGTCATCTTGTTCTTGCTCCTCCTCCTCCATGACTTTCAGATCCTGCTGCCATTGCCACTGCAGGGACTGCTGGGAACTGGGCTGTAGCTCTGGTGCAGGCTCAGTCCTCCACCAGGGCTTCTTCAGGTCCTTCTCCTCTGTCACCTGCTCCTCCTCCTCTTCAGTCTCTTCTTCCTCATTTACCCCCTCCAGCTCCCCCTCTTCCTTCTCTCCCTTCTCCTCTTTCCCCTTTTCCTTCTTCCCCAATCTTTGTTTATCCTTCTCCTGCTCCTTGCCTTTCCTGTCCTCCAAGGTGCTGGAGGGCCTAGGCAGAGTTGGCACTGAGTACAGACTGTTTTGGGCCATGAACCTGGCTGACTTCTCATTCCAGAACTGGCAGAAGTAAGGCACCTGCTCCACCAGGCTTTGGTCCACAGCCTCGTGGAAGTTCTTATCTTCTAGCAGGCCCCTGGATGGCAGGGAGGAGGAGATAGGCCTCAGTGAGGGGCCTTGCAGGCCCTGGGAAGCCCTGGCTTCAAGGCTTTCCAAGAGAAAATTCTTGCCTACTGTTTTCACAAAGTAGGGAGTAGTCAGTCAGTTGCCCCCTTCTTCCTTTCTCTGGAAAAAAGGCTTCTTTGGGCCCCATGGATTCTTAGAGGTGAACAGGATATAGAGGAGGCAGAGCTAGCAGCTCCAAATGACACAGATAAGGGGCCCAGGGAGAGACAGGAAACTGGGTCCAGTTCTTATCTATTAGCTAGGGACCAGGCAGAACTCAGGTCTGTCAGAACTCAGGTCTCCAAGGATCTCTCCACCAGCCCCATTAGAGCTGTACTATCTGGAGGAACCTGGCCCACCAGTAAAGGGGTCTTGCAAGGAAGTTCTATTTCTCAAGAAAGAATGTGCTTGGAACTTAAGGGGCTTTGGCCCACTGAGCTGGAGAGATAGGAGGGTGAGGATGCAGGTCGGGAAAGTACAGGTACCTGATGATAGTGGTGAGGCAGTCAATCAGGAGTTGCTTCTTCTGCTTAGAAACGGGGCTCTCATTGTTAGGGGAGTCTTCCTCCGAAGCCTCTGACTCTTCTCTGTGGGTCTTCCTCTTTGGAAGATCCCTGGGGTAGGTCAGGATACTCTGAGTGGCTGCAACAGTGCTACTGCATTCAGGGAGCCAAGCCCAGGCCTCAAGTCAGTGCAGAACCTAGGGAGGGGGGCAAGGTGGGCATCCCCAGGGGGCACTGGCTGCTTTGTCTCCAGCCTCACAAGGGCCTCAGCAATAATGTGGGCTTCTTGGGCCAAGCAGTGCTCAATGAGTTCCTCTGCCCCTGTCCTTGCTCCAGTGCTCAACAAAGGTTGGTTCTGGGCAGTCCCTACTCTGGAATGAGGGGACTGAGACTAGAGGATGGAGACCCCAACTCCCCAAGACTTTACCAGTGCAAGAAGTGGCAGGGAAACTCTGAGAAAAAGTTAGCCAGGAAGTAGTCGGTGGCATGGGCTCTGGCAGTGAGGTCCAGGCTGAGCATGTCTGGCATGGGCGGCTGAGGGCATGGCCAGGATGTCTCTTCCTTTGTGAGCCGCAGATTCCAACTGGCTGGCCGGCTGAAAGACTGCTGGTTCATGATGGGAGGCAAGGTCTTTGGGAAAGGGGACAAGCATGGATGATGGGGCCTGGGTACCACACTTCCATCACTGATGGGTTTTTTAGCCTAGCCCCCACCCAGGCCTTCTGGGGCACATGGGGTATGGTTCTATCCATGGGCACCTTCACTTTTCCCTTCTAGGACGCAGGACCAGGGGTCAGAGGTATCCCTGGGAACAAGCACCCAAGTTAACCCAAGAAGATGGCCCTGGGGCTCACAAGCTCACCTTGTACCTCCTTACAGGGTCACAGACTGTACAGTATGCTCTGCTCTGTGGAAGCAGAGAGATCCTTGCTGAAAATGCAGGAGGCCTGGCCCACATCCACACTTCCAGCCCTTCCCCCTGGCACACAGAGGGCCTGAAACCAGGTCTAGTTCCAAGCTCTCTTGCCTGCCCCTCAGTCACACCCTATTCCAGAACCTTCCCTGGGGAAGCACTTCCTGTAGAGAGAGATGCAGTGTTACTACCCAAGTGAAGGAAACAGAAGAAAATGCCACCAGATGTAGCCAGGCTGGGGCTACACGAGACAAGGAAGCAGTGAACACAAATCCCTCCCTGTCCTGCCTCATTCTCCCAGGAAGGGATTTGTATTCACACCAGCCAGAGCTCAGAGGGAGCAGAGCCTTGCTGGAAGCTCAGTGTGGTGGACATAGAGGTGACTGAAGAGCAAGAACCCCAGTATGGGAAGGCTGTGACATGGAGGAGGCACCAAGGTGAGAATTTTGTGTTTAGTATTGGAAACCCCATAGCCCATGTTTAGGGGACTCTCACAGATGGGCTTTGTTGTAGCCCACCTCATGACAGTGCTACAGAGCAGATTATTTCACTTGCATTAAAACTGTTTTAAATCTTTTATTTTGTTTACAAAAGGGAACAAATGCTACAAAGAATCTTTCACTGCTCGGTCACTCAGCTTTAACAATTAGGAATTTATGGCCGATTTGTCCCACCTGTCCTCCACCTCTGGATTATCTTGAAGATTCCTATTACCCTCATTGCACAGAGCTAAAACTGGGCAAAGTCAGGAATCAAAGCCAGGTGTGAACTGCTTCCAGAGCATACACCTGAGGCAACTGTGCCCCAGTGTCTGCCATCAGAATGTGAGCTCTGGGTGGCTTCCTGTGTCCCCTGTGCCCAGCACATAGTGGGCACTCATGAAATCCTGGCTGCATGAAGCAGGGAATGGTAGGCAGACTTTTCCACCCCAAGTCACTTCAAGTGGCTGTGAAGGTGCTATGTTAGCCCAGTGAATGGGATCTAAGCTCTTAGGGGAGTTTTGCGTGAAGGGCCACCTCAGCCACTGCCTCTGTCCCCCAGGTGTGTGAGGCCCACTGAGCTTTCCTTACCTCCACTTTCCTGTCTGTAATGGTGAACTCCACCTCCTGTCGTTCCTTCTCATCCTTCCACTCCTGCAGCTCCTTGTGGTATCGTCTCATGAGTTCCTGCCGGTACACCTGGGCCCAGTGCAAGACAAGAGCAGGTCCAGGTCTGGAGGGTCTCAGCCAGGGCTTGACCCAGGCCTGTGCTGGGGGTGCCCACCCTCTCAATGGGCAGCTCCTGCCTCCCTGGGTCTGTGATCTCAGAGCTTCCTCCACCCCAGGGCTGGGAGCTGTACTTCCCCTCCTTTCCTCTCTGTGGCTGGTTCCTACCTTGCATACCAGGTCCACACTGTAGAAGCTGGCATGCACTGAGGCCTTCAGAGTCACCACGAAGGGGACTGTCTCTTCAGGGGCCACCTCCCCTGTCATGGGACTCACAGATACCTGTCAGTTTGAGAAAGGAGTTTTTGAGTTTTGCAGGGATGGGACAGGATGGCATGGAATAAGATGGAGTGAGATGGGCCAGGGTGGGTTGAGTCTGGGTCCCTGCTGGAGGTTCTGATTTTGTGGGCAGTAGGACTCGCACCTCCCCAAAGTGTAGAGGCCTTGGCTGCCAGGCAAAGATGACCGTCTCATTCTTGGAGATGTTGTTGAGGAAGAGGAGGCGTCTACACTTGCTCTGCACAGGGATGTTTCCCAGGGAGATATGTGACTGGGATAGAAAGACATTCTGCCAGAGACAACAAGACAGCACTTTGGGAGCAGAAGAAGTAATAGCCACACATCCACTACCAGTTACTGAGCACTTTCAACAGTCCAGGTACTGTTAGGAGCTTCCTGTGCATCTTATCCTTGCAGTGGCCTCATGACATAGGTACCACTATTGTTCCCTTTGACAGATGTGCTAGGAGGTTCAGAGAGTATAAATGAGTTTTCCAAATGCCTCTCACATGCAGAGGTGGGATAAACCCAGACAGCTCACTCAAAAGTTCATTATGTAAGTGAGTTTGGAAGGATTGAATCAAAATTAGCTTAGAGGAGATAGAACTAAAGCCAACATAATTTGAGTCTTTGAATGCATAGTTGTAAATAAATGGATGACCAGTTGGCATCTTCACTGAGCACAGAATAGGAGCTGTTAGGCGAGTATGGAAAGACCATGCAGAAGGGCCACTGAGTGCTTCCAGTACAGGGACTTTGTCTGGCTCTTCTCCAGTCCCTAGGGCTTTCACAGCACTCATACTGGAGTAAGCAGGGTCTGAATGGAAGGGTAGGCATGCAGACAGTGATTGGATGGATGGGTCCATATCTGGCTGGCTGTTCGGATGGATACACAAATCAGTAAGTGGCAGTTGGGAAGATGGGTAGACAGATGAATGCAAGGATGGTAGGTGGATGAATGGGTGGATGAACGAATGGATTAGATGCCCCAAACTGAGAAGTATATGAACTAAAGGTGGTATTATTGACCTTTGTTATCTTTCAGCAAAATATATCTAGGTATGAAGATAATAAATAAAATAGTAGGATTTCTTTCCAAACTTCGAACACCCCCTATTACTATGCCCAGAGAAGAGACCTTGCAGCCAGAGCAACATCAGCAGGAACACGTGTGGGCACTAGGTGGCAGGATAAGCCTCTCATGGAGCTGGTGCTCCCTTCTAAATCTAGACGAAGGCTGGTTCCAGGTCTCACCCCTACATCCCTCCCTCCTCAACACCTCTCTCATTTCCTCCCCAGCTTTCCCATCCCTCTGTACTGGCTACCCAGGGTTCCAAGGCCTTGTTCAAAGCCTCAGACCTTTCCAGTTCCTTTTCCCCTGACCTGTTCAGGAATCATCAGCCTAGAGCACTTGGAGCTGTTGTCCCATGAGGAGATGTTGTGGAACAGGGCTGTGTCCCCCATGACATGGGGGTCATATCCCACTCCCCGGAAGTGGATGAGGGCTGAGTTCCATCCCACGATGTGTATGGGCACGTCCACCTGGGAAGTCAGGACAGAGAGTAGGGACTAGCTAGAGCAAGGCCTGCTGAGGAAGCCATGGCTCCAGCCCTCACCCTATGTATCCAGGCTGTTGCTCACTGTGTAGGTCTTGGCCTCGATGGGTGAAAAGATCCATAAGACCTGAGCAGTGGTGCCTGGCTGGATCTCCCCTTTGGGGTTAAGGCAGCAGAAGATGGGGTGATCAAAATTTTTTTCTTGAATGTGTGACAGGATGCTGGTCTGGACCTCATATGTCACAGGCACTGAGCCACCATTATACAGCTCATAAATCTGCAGGAGAGGGAGCAGAACAAAGAGATCTCCACACCAGCCCAGGACTGCAGACCAGAGAGCCCAAGACTATGTCCATTACAGGAGGGCAGGTTGAGCTGCATGATATCACCCTGAGAGTCCCTGAGCTCCTCTAAAGACCTTAGGCTTGATCATCTAAGAAGGATGCAGCTGTATATTCAGCTGTGACATTTTAGGTTAATCTGTAATCTTATCTGGAAAGGTGTAGCTTACCTTATTTGCCTTCAACTTACCTTTGGGAAGTTACAAGGGGATCCTACTGTGAGTGTCCCTAGTGTTAGGATTTAGATTTAAGGCAAAGCCCATGTAGGAACTATCCAGTCCTTTCATCATGTTATGGGCTCTCATTCTAGTCCCCCATGGGGACTTTCTATGTCTGCCATTAGAAGAAGTTCTGTTCAACCCAAGTAATGGGACTGAAGGAAGGTCTGAGGTCCTCAAGAGTGACTCCAAAGAAGGTCATGGGAGAGCCCAGTGGTCTTCTGGCCCAATCCTTCTTTTTAGAGATGAGAAAAACTGAAGCCAGGGAGAGTAAAGAGTTCACCTGGATTGGTCCTGGACCCCGCACTCACTCCCGGATGGGCTGTCTCTCCAGCCTGGCCCATCCCATTGGCCTCCAGGCCTGCTGTTATGGGCTGAATGTTTGCCTCCCCTCTCAAAAAAAATTCATATGTTAAAACCTAATCCCCAACATGACAATATTACTAGGTGGGGTCTTTAGGAGGTGATTAGGTCATGAGGGTGGAACTCTCATGAGAGAGATTAGTGCCCTTGTAAAAGGCCCCAAGGAGCCTGTTTGTTTCTCCCACCACGTGAGGACACAGTAAGAAAGTGCCGTCTACAAGCCAGGAGGACAAGCCCTGAAGACACCACACCTGCCTAGGCCTCCGCTTAGACCTCCCAGCCTTTAGAACTGTAAGAAATAAATTTCTGTTCTTTATGAGCCTCTCAGTCTATGGTAACTTGTTATAGCAGCCAGAATGAATGAAGACAACTGGATCTAACCTCTACTGCTAACATCTCTTGGTTGTCTCACAGGCATCTCAAACTTAGCCAAAACCAAAATCCTCACTTGGAACCTAATCTCCCCCTGGCCCCAGTTTATCTCCTTTCCACGAATGGTACCACCTGTCCCCTGCAGCTCAACCCAGCTGTTTCTGTCCCAGCCTTGAGTGAGGCTGCTGGGAAGCTGGCAGGGAGGCAGATGGTGTATAGATCCGAACAGAGCTCAGGGCTGGGAGACTCCCTGTCAGGATCAGGAGCCCATTCCTTGGCCTCTGGGCTGACCAGCTAGAGAACCCTGCCCAGAAACACAGGGGCTTCTACATGGGTAGAGATTTCCCAGCTATGAACTGTTTCTGAGAATATTATTTTCCCTTCTTGGAGAGTTCCAATACACATTTTTCAGAACAAAGGTACCAGATGTCCTCCAACCAATAAAGAAAGAAAAGTCCACAATTCCCAAGGATGCACATCCGGGTCTATCACGTATCCTTGGAGCCATGACTTCCAAGCTGTGGCTTGGACTTATTACTGAGCATCCTGCATCAGTTTAGTAAGTCACACCCAGCAAAATGGAACAGAGTGAAGTAAAAAAAAAAAAAATCAGCATTCTTTGCATGTGATAGCCTTGGTAAATATTTGTGATAGCTCTGTTTTGGTTGCAGATGTGTATAAATAGTGCCATATAAGCATATATATAAATATAAAATGTATTAGTATGGTTCATGGTCAAAGAAGTTTGAAGAGCCATGTGCCAGAGGAGAAAAATCACCCATTTTTGCATGAAAACTGCGGCTGGCCAAAGAGAACTGAAGCTTCCTGCCTTGGGTCTCCCTAGTTACCCAGTGTGGGGATTCAACCCACCAACCCTACCTCTGAAGTGCTTCTGGAGAGCAGTGTCTTTGTCACCCTGCTAAGGGGTGACAGGGATATGCAGAGATGAGCATTTAGCCCTCGAGGCAATCAGACCACTGACCTGCCGTGGGGGTAGCGTGTCACCGATGGGGACAGGGATGAACTGGTGAGTGGTGGAGGTGAAATGCACGTACTTCTGCTCCGGCTTCACTGTCACACCTATGAAATTTAGCTGGAAATAAAAAGCCCATGGATAGCATCCTTCGGTGAGGGGAAGTGGCATATGCAGCAGAGAGATCTGGACCCCAGCTCCCCAGGGGAGCACTGTTTGTGCTCCTCTTGGTTGTCCAGCGAGCCCATCCTCCAGCCTGAGATGGAGGGCAGGACCAGAGTGCTAGGGCCTCACCAGGATCTCCCGGCCATGGGACACCTTGAAGAGCACGGGGAGGCGATCGGTGCCGATGAATAGGTGGCTAGAATGGAGGAGACACATCCAGAAGTGAGTTTTGAGCCCTTGTGAGAGTGAGAGAACAAACAGACATGGCATGCCTGGGGCTTTGAGCCACCTAGCCCCTGGGAGCAGTTGGCCCCTGAGCTGGGACAGCGAAAGAAGGACATTAGGCCTCCCCTGCATGTGGGAAGGAGGTTCTCCCAGGGGGTGGCCATTTGAAGTTCTCTGGAGTTCTTCAGTGAAAGACCAGGGAAAGGGGCCTCTGAGACCAGAAGTGCAGGGTAGGGGCTGGAGAAGCACCTGTATTTGAATTCCACAATTTGCTCCTGCCCTGGGCTCAGGCTCCCAGCCTTGGGGCTGATGGAGAAGATGTGATTGTCCTCGGTGCGCATTTGGTGGAGCTCAGTGCAGTCAAACTCTACTTGCTCTGCCCACGGCTCCAACCCGATCCGCTGGTCACTGGGAAAGAGGAAGGCCCTGCAGAGAGAGGGGTGTGAAGCAAGGGGCAGCAGTGACATGCAAAGAACGGGCCAGTCTGGACAGAGGGTCAGGGGAGCACTGCGCTCTGAGCTCTGTGAGACAGAGAGAGACCTCCGTCACACCTCCTGCACTCCATCCCCCATCTGGCAGGCTGTCCCATGCCTGGCTGAGCGGATGTGGCTGGTGGGGATTCTCATTTCCTAATGGCCCCCAAACCTGGGAACAGAAGCAGGGCCACAGTGGCTAAAGGAGAAGTGAAGATTGGGGCCCCTGTTGCGGGTGCCAGGAGTTGAGTGGGTTGCTTGTATAGATGGCCCATTTAGAGCAGGATGCTAACCCTTCTTTGATTTAGTTCTTTTTTTTTTTTTTTGGTAGCGGGGATCGAACTCGGGTCCTTGCGCTTGCGCAGCAGGTGCCGGAACCACGGAGCTAAATCCCTGGCCCTGATTTAGTTCTTAGGAAAGGGCCAGTTGAGGCTCCTGGGAATGCTCGCAGTCCCCCCAGAGGACCCTGAGAGGGAAAGAGTTGAGGCTACCTTGGGTACAGCCAGCTTGGGTAGTAGCACTTTTTTTGTGTGGTATTAGAGATTGAATTCAGGATCTGCACATTAAGCTACATCCCCGGCCCTTCTTTATTTTTTAAATTTGTATTTATTTATTTTGGTACCGGGGATCAAACTCGGGTCCTTGCACTTGTGCAGCAGGAGGCAAAACCCCTGAGCTAAATCCCAGGCCCAGCCCTTCTTTATTTTGAGACAGAGTCTCACTAACTTGACCATGCTGGGCTTGAGTTTGTGATCCTCCTGCGTCAGCCACCTAGAATGCTGGGCATGCACCACCATGTCCAGCTGGCACTACTGTAACAAGCCAGGGTGTTATAGAGTCAATGGCCTTCGAGTGCTCATCCAAAGGAAAGTAGATAATGCTGCCAAAACTAGTAACAGAGGGTCCCGAGGTCATAGTCCAAGAAAAGAATCCTTCGCTCTCAGAGAGATGCCTCGGAACTGGCTCTAGCAGCAAACTAGGCCAACAATGTAAACAGAGAACAATCTTCTAAAAAAGGAAAAGAGATTCAGCCCAGGAGGAAGAGGAAGAGGAGAAAAGGGTGGGTGGGCTGAAAGCAGCAAACACATCTGAAAAACTTCAACAGGAGGCAGGGAAATGCAAACTGAAATCCGGGAGGAATCAGTCTCAAAATTTTTTCACATTGGAAATGTTGAAGATAAGTTATAGCCAATGCTATTAAGTTTTAAAAGAACAGAAACCCTGAAATATACAAACATAGGCAAGAGAGAGGGAAATACTTCAACATTTTGGAAGGAATTTTAGAAGCATCTATTAGAAGAAAAATATGTATGCCCTTTGACCTTGAAATCCCATTCTGGGGAATTAACCTACAGAAATAAAAGCAGGCGGGTGTGCGCGCGCAGGCACGCGCGCACGCACACACACACACACACACACACAGGGTTTATTACAAGTTTTTTTCCAGTGGCAAAAACATGCAACTGGGAACAACTCAATCTTCCAATGAAAGAGTGACTTAACAGCTTAAACGCTCATCTATAGTGTGGAGTATTATGTTAAGAAGAATGAGCTAGATCTATGTGCATTGATCTATATTGACCTGGAGGGGAAAATGTGTCCACGTGTCTGTATGTTGTGCAAATTCTGAGAGTTGCTACCCCCCTTCAAGCCCTCACCACCTGGCAGTGGAATTCCGGAGGGAGAGGGGTTTCTTACTTTTCTTTCATCACCCCTGTATCGTTTGACTTGCTATGGGTGAATAAATTACTTTTGTCATTTCATTTGGGGGCTAATAATCTGCCGAAAAATGGGAGATTTTGCTGTTTGGGGATCTTCTGGATAGTATCTGCACCTCCCTTGTGCCTGTTAAATAATTCCCCCCTTCCCCTGCAAGTCCACTAGTGTGGGGACACTCTGTCCCAATTTGTGGCCGGCTTCGATGTGGCCCTCCTGTCCCCTGCTTAGAGCTGCTAACCCATCCTGCCCGGGGAGCAGGGACAGGTCATGGGCATGGTCCATGATTTGCCCCACTGAAGCTTACAGCCTTTCATCCCTCGGGAGGACATCCAGACCCCCGAAGGAAGACTCCAGGCCCTACCTTGTCCTGACCGCTGGCTCCCTCCAGCCTCACCCAAGACCATTCCTTCCTCTCTCCCCCAGCCTCCACCTCAGATCTCAGGCCTCACAGGGAAGGCTTTGCAGCCTCTTTGCTTTTTGCCCTTGGTCTCTAGGTCTAGCTTGGCTGTAGCTTTTGCTACCGTATTTCCCCCAAAATAAGACCTAGTCGGAAAAGAAGCCCTAGTATGATTTTTTCAGGATGCTCATAATATAAGCCCTACCCCCAAAATAAACCCCAGTTGAGATCATGAGCTAAATGAATGGAGTAAATCCATACCACTGAATTATAAAATTCACATATTGAATTATAAAATAATAAATAATAAAATATAAATACATATTGTTGCCATTACTACTTAAAATAAATATAAATTATAATTAAGTATTTGTAAATACCTTAGCAGGCACCTTTGGATGAGAGGTAAATTCCTATGCAAACAGTGATCAATTGGAGTACAGATAGAACACATGAATAACATGCACACTTCACAATGAATGGATGTGGTTGTGTCTAATGTGAGTCTTCATAGTTCAGTATAGTATGTCATGAATTGTAATGGACACAATGTACTCATGTGAAACAAAGAAACATTTTCTGAATTTCGGTGCCTGCAATTTCTCATCACTTTTGTGTAGAGACAGTCATTCTCAACCATCATCATTTTTGTGGTCAGTCTTGTCTCATAAGTCTTCAATTAGCACTTGATTCAGTGGAAACTTAGTGAAGCCAGCCTCCAAGAGGTCATGACTTGGTGAAGAATTCATGGGATAAAGTCACTGATGGCTGTGTTGCCAGTGCACTACAATCAGGCTACACGGACAAGAAATGCTCGCTTAAGGAGAGCTCTATTGCTGGACATGAGAGACTGGGGCCAATGATTCCTCAGGAAATGGAGTTATAAGAAATTCAGGCTGGAATTTGGGGTTTAGAGAGTTATGGCAATGTTCCAGAAGATTATGACATGACTGGATTTGAATAAATATAGATTTTTATACACGAGTAAATAAATAAATGTAGATTGTTATACATGAAAAAATAAGACATCCCCTGAAAACAAGCCCTGTTGCTTCTTTTAGAGCAAAAACAAATTTTTTTTTTTGAGACAGGGTCTCACTATGCAGTTCAGGCTGGCCTTGAACTCACTATGTAGCATAGGTTGGCCCCAAACTCACAGTGATTACAGGTATGTGCCACCAGGCCCGGCTGGAGCAAAAATTAATATAAGACCTGGCTTTATTTTCCAGAAAATGGGTAGAAGGACTTTTCCTACCTTCCTTTATGTAGGAAGCCTTTCTGGTGCCCTGGCCCCAACCAAAAAGGTACAGTGACGCTCAGAGGGCTGAACAGGCTCCTTCACAGCACACAGTACCCTGCAGTAGGAGGCTGCTCAGCCCCAGGCCATTGGTCCCGAGGCTGTCCACATGTGTATTCTGAGGATCAGCCTGAAGCCTGCACCCATAGAGGTTTAGCAAGTGGAATAAATGGAAAGTGCACGAGTGAGCAGATGACATGGACCAGCACATCTGACATCTGTAGGAAACCTCTCCTTAATGCAAGATTCAAGACATGCCAGGGCCAAGTGGAGCAGAGGCACTGCAGGAGGAGCTGTATGGCTCCCAGATTTCTGGGGGCTCCCTTCCCACTTGTGGTTCCTCCCTCTGTCCTCCCTGCCGCCTCTGCCCAGACAAGCCCCCCACCCCACCCCCCCACCCCAACCCTGTATGACCGGTCCTGGCAGGAATAAAGCCTGTCTGTTCTGTTTGAGCTCAGCAGAGACAGGCAAGAATTTGTAGAAATAGCCTTCTAAGAAGTTGAAAGGAAACCCAACAACACAGAAAGCACTGGAGAGCCAGCCCCCTCGGAACCCTGAAAGAAGCATGGCCTGCCTTCCTGTACCTCAAATGATCCCCTGCTGTTGGGCATGCTGCCTGGGCTTCCTCCCACCTCGGTTTCCAGCAGCCTGGACCCTCTCCACAGAGAGTGTGAGCTGGGCTGCTTCTACCCAGGCACACAGTGTCCATGGCCCCGCAAACGCCCTGCACCACTCCAAGAGCCAGGCCAACACCCTCGGCCGGGTCGGGCTTGGCTTCTAGCCTGCCTCAGAGCCTGGTGAATGGCAGATCTGGAGTTCAAGGCAGCCAGGCCTCAAAGCTACCACCGTGGCTCTGGGCCAGAAGTCCTCGGGTAGTCACAGCCCTGCCCTTCTCAGATAGACCCGCCTCATGAGCCAGTTTCCCCATCTCACTCCCCGTGGAGGGTGGGAAGGGGGCAGTCAGGGCACACCTGACACTGCAGCCTCTACCCTCCCTTGACCCCTTCCCCTCAGGACTTCCTCTGCTTCAGCTGGCAGATTTCCTGCCACAGATGCCCTGGCTACATGTTCCCACTCTCTCCCACCCTCCCATCACGCCCAGGCTGAGGACCCTCCTTGTGCGCCTCTCGCTAGCCAAGCAAAATTGGAAGTCACCTAAAGGATGTTTACTAGGAAATCCAGGCGCGTGGCAGAGGCAGGGAGGAGGCAGAAGAACAAGCCCTGGCATGGGAACAGGATGTGGACTGGGCACCAGTTCTGGGCCCTGACGGGACAAAGGTGGGGAACAGGGAGGCGGAGCACCAGGTCTGGCCCCCTGCGACTGAAGTAGAATCTGCCAGGCCGCCAGCACCTAGATATCCTGGTATTCATAAGCCCCTCAGAGCCGTCTTACTAACAGTGTAGGCAGGGAGCTGGAGTTGGATGCAAAAGGGTTTGAACCTGGCTCTGCCTACTAATAGCTGAGTGGCCTTGGCCGAATCCTGAGCCTTCTGAGCTTCAGCGCTCTCCCTGCTGGCAACAGCTGCAGATGAAAGCTGGTAAAGCACAATGCCTGGTTCGCAGCAGAGGCTGAATAACTGCTTCTCACTCATCCAGTCATTAAAGACAGCTACACCAGTCTTGATCAGAGCAAGTCCATGCTGTCCTGAGTCTGCTGACACATGGGTCAGCTAGCAACAGGTCCTAAGTGCTTCTGGGTGACTCCAGGACCAGCTGGGCTCTCATACTCCATCAGTGGGGGACCCACTCCTGGCAGACACCAGTCAGCCAGGTCTCCCATTGACAAGAGGAAGTGGCTCTTCTACCCTCCCAGCCTCCTTGACCAACCCCAACCCCCCCAGCAGCCCCTCCAGGCCAGCATACCAGTCCAAGGGCACCACTCCACTGTTCTTCATGGCCAGGAGCACCACAGAGGGCTGGACCTTGAGTGGTGCCGCCCCAAAATTGAAGTCAAGTTTCAGAGGGGTAAAGACTGGGGGGATCTGGCTCACACTGTGTAAAGCAGAGAAAAGCCCTGGGCTCAGCTGGTGATGGGGACAGGGTGGGGCTCTCCAGAGGGTGGCTGGCTTGGGCACTCCTCAACCCCCTCAAAGGTGAGGATCAGAGAATCTGGGGCTCAGAGGCAGGGATGGGCCAACTCTTCAGACCTCCAGCCAATCTTTGTCTCTCCTGTGTCCTCCAGGGAGGGGTCCCCTCCCCCAGAGATGGGAAGCAGCTTCTTGGACAGGCCTGGTGCTGGGGCATGGGAAGGCAACTCCATGAACATCCCCAGAAGGCCCAGCGCTCACCTGTGCCGGGTGGGCACCTTGTAGGTGAGCTCACAGGGGGTGGGGTCACAGGCCAAGTAACTATTGAGGGTATCCAGGGAGAAGAGGCGCCACAGGTGCTTGCGGGTGAGGCCCTCAGCCCCGCCCATGGGGCAGGCATCCAGGATGGAGAGTAAGGGGTACACGGCCACCAGGAAGACATGACACAGCTCCTGCTTCTCACCAACCTTGTTATCTGGGGGCACATGTGTGGGAGAGAGGAGAGGCTTGCCACTCTCTATGAGCAATGCCTTAGGCTCCGGGACATTTCCAAGAGCAGCCAAACCTTGCCTGATATTTTTATGTCTCAGACACTGTCCTAAGTATTTGACACACATCTTTGCATTTAATGTGCACTGTTGTTTTCAAAGTAACTTTCAATAACAGCTTTACTGAGGCATAATTTATCTACTGTAAAATCTACCCTTTTAACACATATAATTCAGTGATTTTTGTACATTCACAGAGTTGTGCAACCACCACCACTATCTAATTTTAGAAAGTTTCCATCACCTGCAGAAAACAGCAGCACTAATTAGCCATCACTCCCCACTTACCCCTCTCCCCCTCCTGGCAACCAGTCATCTACTTTCTGCCTGTCTGTTTTTGTCTATTCTAGATGTTTCATATAAATGGAACCATTCAATGTGTGGGTTTTGTGACTGGCTCCTTTTACTTAGCATCATGTTTTCAAACTTCCTCTATGTAGTAGCACATGTCACTATTTCATTCCTTTTTTTAGGCCTGTGTGCCCTTGCTATCCCCATTTTATGAGGAAACTGAGGCACAGGAAGGTGAGCAGCTTGCTAAAACTACCCAGCTACTAAGTGTTGGATCAAATCCCATTGAGTCCCCATTCTTCTGGTGCCTACTCGCCTTCTTGCTTGCCACAGGGCAGGTTAATAACAACTCCATTTGATGAAAGAGAAAGCTGAGGCCTAGCAAGGCCAGGGATCTAAGATCCCACCAGAAATCAGCACATTCCCTAAACTTTGGTGTTGAGTTTTCTGCAGCTCAGGTACACAAACGAATGGACACTCAGACAGATGCGGCATCCACAGCAGACACCCAAAGGCACAGCCTGGCACACCTCTGCTCACTCGGTGGCGATTCTGACCTCAGCATGCCCCAGCCCTGCCTCACACCACTCTTCCCCTTCCCTTCTGTCTTCCCTGGCCCTGACTCGCCATGCTGGGTGCCCACGTACCTCTGTGGGACAGGAGAGAGTAGCTGATGGTCCAGGAGTACTGGGACCTGTGCTTGGGGCAGGCGGTCAGGCTGATGGTATCCCGGGAGTGAGGCGGCATGCTCCCCTCGGAATGGTCCAGCTGCAGAGCTGCTCAGGGGTGATACAGGTAGGGTCAGCAGGCAGAGGCAGCCTGGCCTCTTCTGCTCCTTCTCTCATACTCTCCCTGGGCCAGCAGATCACTGGCCCTGAGTCAGGAAATAGAGCAGAACCCTCCTCCCAGGCTGGGACAGAGGGGACCACACTTTTTTTATGTCATTGGCACGTGCTAAGCACTTTTCCCCACCTAGCAGCCCTGTGAGGTAGATGGGTGTCATTTCACAACTGAGGAAGCTGAGGCTCAGAGAGTCCTAGTCATGTGCCCAAGGCACACAGCTACAAAGTGGAAGCATTAGGATTTAAGCTCTGCTCAATCTGACCCAGCCATGGTGTACTAACCTGTCTTAAGCAGTACTCCCTAGATCTCCCCCATATTTACATATCTCCCCTGACCCCAGTCCAGCCCAGGTCCAGTACCGGGGGGATCATGGTCAAGGCCCTCGGGGCTGCGCTGCTCCAGGTACAGGTGGTAGTAGAGGGTGCAGTTGCCATCGTTCAGGAGCACCAGATTCCTGGACTGCTTGCTGTCCACCAGTAGGTTCCCAAAGTCCAGCTCCTTTGCCTCTGCCTGAAGCCACAACCAGAAGCTGTTGGGGGCTCCCCAGCCCTGCTGCCTGGCCCCATTCTCAGAGCATCCCCCAAGCAAGGGCAGGTCCAGAGGTGCAGGCAGAGGAGACAGAGGGCTTCTTCCCTTGCCCTCTTGGAGTTGGGCACCCAGGGCCTTTCCTCCCCAACCCCACCTCCCACCACCAGGGCCCCCCACTCACAGAGAGGCTGCTGGTGACACCCAAGCCCACCAGCCGGATCATGTAGTGCGTAGTGGCAGGGGACTTGGCATCTGGGGGCAGGCCAGCTTCCCAGACCCACATCCCCACTCGGAACAGGTATTTGGTCTCCTCCAAAGGGCTGAAGATCCATGTCAGTGTCTGGGGTCACAGAGATGGTTGCTGGATGGGGCCTCCGGAATGCCCTTGCCCTGGGGCTCCTGGCCTTTGAAGGTCCCATTGCAGGGTGTCAAGCTTTAGTAACACTTCCTGAGCATCTACCCTGCCCCAGGCACTTTACACACATCATACAGCATGTCATCTCCCTAAGCCCCTCGATCCTGATCCTCAAGACAGGTCAGTGGTATTATTTTCAAGGCTTGTTTTGTGTTGAGAAACTGGAGAAGTCCAGTAACTGGGCCAGGGTCAGACAGCTGGTAAGGGCAGGAGCAGGGGTGGGAACGCTCAAGGCCAACTCCTGAGTCAGTGGGATCCCTTCTGTCACTACTCACTGTCCTTGGGCTCTGAGGGACACCGTGTGTTGCTGGCTCTTGCTCTAAGTCAATTAGCCTGTGAGGCCCTAGACTAGGGACAAGATCTGCTAGTCTGGGTTCCAGACTGTGTCCACCTTTGTGCTTCAGCTGGAACCTCTGGGAGTCCCCTTCCTCACCCTTTACTGAGAGCCACCAAGTTGACCCTAAGCCCAGCTGCTCCAAGCCACCCTACCAGCAATCTACAGCTTTAGGTACCATGGGTAATGGAGTGTGGACTTGCACTGAGCCCTGATGTTGGAAATGGTGATTCCATTCCCAGCTCTGCACTTCTTAACCTTGATCTTATTAAAGGACTTTTCCTCCAAGTCTCAGTTCATTGTGGAATGGGGTGAGGGAGGTGGTGACAACAACACCTACTCACAGTTAGGGGAGGTGACTATGGATTGAAGGGTTAGGTGCACAGCACAGCCAGTGAGAGGCACGAGTGAGAGACATGGAGGTGAAGGGAGGAGCCCTCCCTCTCCCACCCTCAGCAACGGGCCAGGGCACTCACAAGGCTCTCGTTGGGTTGGATCACCCCTTTAGAGGGCTGGACAGCCAAAGTCTTTCGGTGTTGCTGGGAGACCCTCCACTCAAACTCCAGGGGCAGACGTGAAGGGTTGCGGAAGGTGAAGGGGCTGGTGGAGGAGCAGCCCACCCATGTGGGCTTGAAGAAGACACATTTACAGGTGTCCAGCTTCAGCTGCAGTGGCTCCTCTCGGCTCTGCATGATCACCTCCTGGGCCAAAGAAAGGAGGGCAGTACCTGAACTCACCTTGTGATCCGGCTTCCCTCCACATCCAGGAGGCCATAAGTGGACAGCTTTTCCCTTTGGAAAGGGCAGCAAAGGTCATCTACCAACCTGGGTATGGCAGACTCTGTCACAAGCAGACAGGAAAGAACTCAGGGACTGAGAGGGGATGGACAGACCATTTCGTGGGGTGAGACATGGGTCCACCATCCAGACCCTACCCCTGGGCTGGCTCCAAACACCTCTCTCCCCGCTGCAGGAGTGAGTCTGGGACCTCTGCATCTTGGTGTTGCTCCTAGACTCCATGAGAGGGACGAGCAAGCCCTGAGGGGTGGCAGAGTTGCTCACGGATGAGCCAAGGTCTCTCTCTCTCTCTCTCCCTGGGATGTGACTTCGTGGAAGAGGAACCTGGCCAACCCCAGGTCAGGAATTTCTAGATTATGAATGACTCCTACCCCCGCCTCCTACCTTGAGGTACTGGGACCCAAAATTGAACTCCAGGTAGAAAATGTGCTGCTTCCAGGAGGTACCCTTGGGGTAGGTGCTGATGAGGAAGATCTGGTGGGTGCCAGGGGCTACAAGGCCTGAGGTGGGCCGCAGGGTGATGTCTGAGCTGCTGTTGAGGGTCAGGCTGAAGGTCAGCAGCATGGAGCCTTTGTTGACCAGGAGCAGGGTGCGGTAGGAAGGCTTGCCGGAGGACACTGCGGGAAATAGCTAGGGGTCGGAGAGAAGAGGAAGAAAAGAGGATCCCTGCTCAGATCCTCATCCTCCAGATACATACTCAGGGTGTATGTGGGTTTGGGTGGGGCTGTCTTCCAGGAGATCCAAGATCCCTGCTTACAGCATGGCCGACACTCTGGGAGCAGGGAGTTGAAAGAGGCCATAGCCTGGCTCAGAGAATGCATGTCCTCCGGAGACCTCCAAACATGGAAATGGGGTGGCCCTGTGTACTGGAGCAACATAGGCCTCCAAGGTCTGTTCTTATGGTTATGCAAGGCTCACAGACCCCAACCCAAGTTCCCACCCATCTAGGGCAACAAATGCATGTGTGTGAGTGGGTGTGGGAGCAACAGGGATGGAATCTGCTGGACTTTGGGAGCGGCTTCAGACTGTGGGAGAGGGGAGGAGCCAAGGAGAGGACAAGGGAGTCAGTGCTGAGAATCCTGTAGGGGGAGGGCTTTGGGAAGGGGTAGCCTGTGAGCTGGGTATGGGGGCGGGGTTGAAGGACAGAAGTGTAGCCAGTGGAGGGAATGGAATCACCCCAAGCCGTTGTCTCAAAGTGGCACTTTTCCATCAATAAGACTAATGAAAAAGCTGAGGGTAGCCATGGAAACTGGGAGGAGCCACAGAGGCCAAACCAGAACTGGGTGCTAGCAGTCTGGCCCCCAGCTCTGAGCTTCTCAGTCCAACATCATCCTGCTTCGAAGGTCAGACAGGGCCTCCAAGGACCTTGGGAAAGACCCAGGAATTCTGACTCCCAAGGAGTGCGCCCCAAGGGCTCCTGACTTGAGCTGCTGTCTCCCTGGAGTCTAGCCTAGGATTTGGTGCCTGGGGTGTATTCAATAAACAAGGCATCAACAAATGAAGGAGCTGGAGAGTTTTAAGCCTGAGAGAGAGTAGTTTAGTGAGTATTTCAGATGGAACAGGGAGGGGCTGGTGTCCAACTCCCAGACTGTCCCCATCCCAATGCCATGGATAAGGAGCAAGTCTCCCACTGGCTGGTGAGGATGTGGGGATGTGAGGATGCAGGGACCTGATGTGAGGCCATCAAGAGAAGAGTGCTGTGCAGGCCAAGGCAGAAGCCAGTTCTTCTCACTGACTGCTGTTGGGGCCATGCTCACCTCAGGCACATCCAGGAAATATTGGGGGACGTGATGCTCCAAGGCAGCACAATAGCTGTGGCCTCGTGCCCGCACCATCAGACACCAGGATGGGCACACAGTGCAATCCTCCTCAATACTGTTGTAGCTCTGCAGGACCTGCAGGGAGCCACCCCATGGAGAAGCTTAGGCTCACGTCCACTGTGGAAGGCAGCCACCCTGCCTGTCCCTGCCCCTGCCCCGGTGCTACAGGTGTCTTAAGTTGGGCACAGAAAGGAGAAGATAGCGCTGAGAGTAGCAGCCATGCACAGTCCCTCCCGCTTGAGCCAGGGCCTTACTGAGCACTTGCAAACCCTCTCGGGATCCCCACAGCTGCCTGCGAGGAGGGTGGGGCGGGATGTGAAAGCAGCATTCATTCTGTAGGAATGAGCCCAGAGAAGCGCTGGCCAACGGAAATATAACAGGAGCCACAAATGCCAGCCGCAAGTGTAATTTTTAAATGTTCCAGTGGCCACATGAAAAAAGTAAAACATGTGAAATTAATTTCAATAATCTTTTACCTAACCCAATAGATTCAAAATCTTATCATTTTAACATATAATGGATATGAAATTATTAAGGAGATATTTTACATTCTTTTCACTCTAAGTCTTCAAAATCTATGTATCTTTTATACTTTACAGCCCATCTCTATTTGGGCCAGCCACATGTCAAGTGCCCAGTGGCCATATGTGGCTGGTGGCTCCCTTATCAGACAGTGTAGGTCTAGTGCTGTATCCTAAAGCTCTGACACGCTCAGCCTTGGCCAAGTCAGGAGTCTGTGCCTTATTCCTACAAACCTCCACATTCCCCCACTGCCAAGACACCAGAACGAGGGCAAGTAATAACTCCGCTCTGGAAAGCCTCCTCAAAAGCTTGGATGTGGCCTCAGTTTTATAGATGAGAACACCTGGACCAGAAACATTTAGGAACTTGCCCAGGGTCACATAGCTGCTAAGTGGCTGACCTTGAGTCCACAGCGCTATCTACTGTTCCCTGGCCCAGCACTGGGCAGAGCTGGGAAGGAAGAGAAAGCAGGGCTGGCTGGGAGGACACAGGGACTGAGGTTAGGGCTGGGGACAGCCTATGCACTGAGGTCCCTGGCCAAGGGAAGCTGTGCTAGAAAATCCCTCCCCGATACACCTTGCACTCTGCACCCCTCCTCTGTCCCCAGGACTGGTTTCTGCCCGCAGAGAGCTCCTTTAATGCAGTGATCCCCAAACTTCTTGGCACAGGATTCATGAAAGATAATTTTTCCATGCATAGGGGTGGGGGATGGTTTTGATGGTTCAAACACATTACATTTATTGTGCACTTTATTTCTATTATTATTACATTATAGTATATAGTGAAATAATATACAACTTGCCATAATGCAGAATCAGTGAGAGCCCTGAGCTTGTTTTCTTGCAACTAGAAGGTCCCATTTGCGGGTGACAGGAGATACCCAAAGTGTCTGGCATATGTCCAGTCTACTCCATAATCTCATTTTGGTTGGCAAACCCTGCTTCACAAAGATGGGATGTTAGAAGTGGAAGTAGGTTGATGATCAGTGCTTTTGTGGCAATCTCAGGATATTCTGCCTTGGCTTTAATCCAGAATGTATGGAGATTTATCTGCCGACTTGAAAACAGTTGTCATTCTCCCCTGGAGTGACAGACTGAGTTCCTTGAGCAGGCTGAATATGTCACATGAGTAAGCAAGATTTGTGATTCATTCTTTGTCACTGAAACATGCTGCTAGTGGTGATTTTTTCCCAAAAAAATCTCTGGAGCAGCTCTCATAGTTCAAAAATCTTGGCCAGTGATGCACCTCTAGAAAGCCGTCTCACTTCTGTGTACAAGAGAAGGCTGCTGGGCTGGGGATTTAGCTCAGTGGCACCGTGCTAGCCTCACAAGCACAAGGTCCTGAGTTCGATCCCCGATACTGCGCGAGAAGACAGTTTTGGATCCATCTCCTTACAGAGTTGTGCAAACAGACCTGAGTTAAGGGCACGTACTTTAATGAGCTTGATAGCTTTAATCACATCCTGCAAAATGTTGTATTTCAGGTGACATTTTTCAGCTGGGCAGAATTTCTGTGCTAGATTCATGATCAGAAGCCACTTCTTTGACTTGAGTAGTGAAAAAAGCAAGCTGCCCAGTCATGGCAGCTTCTCTGCTCATGCATATACTGATGCAAAATGACCAGTTCACTTTTCCTGACGTGTAATCATTCATTGACTTATTCTGCAGCTGTGGTGTTTGTTGGCCACAAAATTGTCGATAATGTATCTTCATGCAACCCTCCCAAAAAATATATTGCACACAAAAAAGTATTGTTGCATTGTTGAAAACATCAGTAGTCTAGTCAACCTGGATTGCGTACCATGGTACTCTTTAATCCTAACAATTGTGCCTCAGTATCCTCTGTATTTTATCAGTTGGCCTTGCAGTGCTAGCTGAAGAGGAACAGGTGCCACCTTGTGAACTGCAATGTCTCCTAAAAGTTCACAGCAAATGTCCTTAACAGCAGGCAAGATCAACTCTTCATCCATAGTAAAAGGCTTGTTAGCTTTAGAAATGTGGTTAGCCACTAGGAATGATGGTCTCAGTGCAGATACATTTGATGAAGTGGTGGCTTTCAATAATTACTTCTATTCTTCATGTTCATGTTTTTTTTTTTCTTTTGAAAATTCCAGTCAGGGATTTAGCTCAGTGGTTCTGCCACCTTCCTCACAATTGCAAGGTCTCAAGTTTGATCCCCAGTACCAAAAAAAAAAAAGAAAAGAAGAACTCCAAAGCCTTGTCTCTTAATGCAGGTTGCTCGGTCTCTGTGTGGCAAAGCAGCTTTGAAGGTTTCACAGCTTTGCTGGATAACCAGTCACCATATATTTTTAAAGTGGGCTTGGAGAATGTGAATCATCCGCTGCAGTGAACCCATAATTTAAGTAGGACTGTTGGTATTTTCTTGTAAGAGCAGCTTTCGTTTTGTTGGCAGTCTTAGATTCTTCCACTGTCTCATCATTGGGTCTTACCCCTTTTCAAAGAAGCCCTCCAGTGATGTTTGTATTTTACTCATTTTGGCCAGGGCTAGCTTGTGGGCCACCAAAACTCACACAGACAAGTGTACAGTGTGGGAAAGAGTCATGGATGGAAGTGGTAGATAACACAATGGGCAGGCCATGTGTGAACTAAAATAAGTGTTAGATTCTGACTTAAAGCTCACCACCATATGCACCTGTACAACTGAAGTCCATAAACTCACTTGTCTCTTTATAGCCTGACCCCAAATGCAGCTTAATTGTCAGTTGCCACTCACTAATGGGGTTTGATATGAGTCTGCAAACAATTGATTATGGTCTCCGTGCAGTCAAAGCTCTCTGCTGATGTTAATCTGTATTGCACCTGCTCCCCAGCACCAGCATCATCCCCCAGCTCCACCTTAGATCATAGGCATCAGATTCTCATAAGAGCACATAATCTAGGTCCCTTGCATGTGCAGTTCACATCCGAGTTCATACTCCAAAGAGAATCTAATCCTGCCACTGACTTGGCAGGAGGAAAAGCTCAGGTGGTGATTCCAGTGATGGAAAGTGGTTGTAAATACAGATAAAGCTCTGTAGGCCTGCTGCTGTGCCACCTGGTTCCTAACAGGCCACAGTACCAGTCTGTGGCCTGGAGGTTGGGGACCCCTGCTTTAAAGGGACCGCTTTTTACTTCAAGAACTAAAAGAGAAGCCAGGAAAACCCTAGCCAAGAGCCCCAGGCAGCTACTTCCCCGGCACCAAATTTTCCCAAAAGCCTTGATCCAGGCCTGGTTCTTCCCTAGAGAAGAAGGAGGCCGTACACGAATGAGACATAATAAGAGGAACAGAGCTGGGTCATGAGCCTGGGAGGGTCAAAGCAGTGGGGGTTGCTATCCAGTCCAAGAGAAAGTAGGAGAATCTGCCATGGGAGGTAGAGCCCTGCAGCACCTTCCTTCTGTCATCCCCTCTATCCAAACCCTGCCCTTCAGGCTCCATGCAGAGCACTGCCTTCCCAAATCACCTGTACACACACACCTTGTAGACAGCGAAGGCCTCAAGCTCCACAGTGTAGAGAGAGTTGGGGCAAGGTGGCTGGAAGTGCAGGCGCATGGCCATGGACTTGAGTGGGGGCACATCAAAGGTGTCTGGGGTCACCCAGAAGGGGCAGTCAGGCCTGCGCGTCCAGACCACTGTAATCTTGCCTTTGGTGTGGTTCCTCAGGCACAGGGGGGCAGGGGTGGGGGCCTCAGGCCCAGGGCAGCCACCAAAGTCCACCTCAGCTGGTTCTATACTGATGGGCGGGGGAAAGATGGCCATGTCCCTGGTGCCATCAACGAAGTACTCCATCATGGGGGGGATACAGGGGTGCTGTGGGGCTTTTGTTTCCTCCAGGTCCTGCATGAGGAGAGACAGGGGTGGGCGCAGCTGCCATTCTTTCTGCCGCTCCCCTCCTGCAGAAGCCACACAGGTCACCCCAACAACAGTGGTGTCCACAGAGCTCCGAGGACACAAGACTGCCCAAGAATTGCAGAAAGCTGGGAAGGGCCTGCCCACTGGGAGCTGGAGCAACTGAGGCTCAGAGGGAACCAGATACCTTGGGGGGCAGCATGAGGGCCCCATCGCTGCCCCGCTGCAGTGTCCTCTCCTTCAGCATAGCAGCCAGGATGTCAGGAGGGTAGAGTGTCAGGCCTCGAGCCAGGTGTGTCCGATACCAGGTGAGATGCTGAGGGGTCAAGATGGCTGGCTTGGTGCTGTCTGAGTGGCAGGTCCCAATCAGGTCCAGGAACAGTGGGTCCTGCAATATTTGTTGGTGTGCGGTGGGGTGCAGGAGAAATGGTAGGGCAAGTGAGCTGAACTAAGGACAGATGCTTGGCAGACAAGATGACACAGACAGCAAGATGGAGGCTGGGGGAGCCTCTTGACAGCTGCCTGGCTGGCTGAGGGAGTCCAAGGCAAGTCAGGAGGAGAATAGGCAGCCCTCAGAATGGGATACTCAGCCACCACCTGCCCTTCTTCTCCCTGTATGTGGCACTTGGGCATTCTACTGCCCAACCTACAGGCAGCCAGGAGCCCACAGGACCAGCATTCAGGCCCTCCTTCATGAAACAGAAACCGGGTCAATTCTGTCTTACTGCTGCAAGGCTTCCCTGAGCCCATACTGCACCTGCATGAGAACTAGAAAAGGGTATCCATTCTCTCGGCTGAGAGACACAGACCAGAGCCCAGGCACCAGCTCTGTAGGTGCTAGATTTCAGCCTCACCTTGTTATCTTAGCTAGACACCCTGGGGTCAGTGCACCATGTGTATAACCTTGCCCTGGGGCCCTGTGTTCAGGGTCTAACTTCAGAGCTCCCTGCCCTGCATGTTTTCTGAGATGATATCCATGCCTCTCTGCCCTCAGCTCATTGGCGGCAGCAGTAAAGCCTCTGGCTTGGCAGCAGTTAGGACGAGCTTGCCACACTCACCTGGCTGAGAGTGAGTCCTCATGTGCCCCTGGCCACATTCTGTTTCCAAAGTCCCATCTAGGCCCTTCAAGGAGGATGACCCAGGCAGGCAGCCACATGAGTTCCAGAACACAGGGGAGTGCCCAGCACACCTTGTCTTCATCACTGCGTAGCCCCCCATCAGACAGAGAAGCCTCTTCCCTCAGCTCCGTCCCCTTCCCCACCACTCACCTGGTGGTGGATGAGACAGGCCACTCGCCGAAAGCAGATGATGGGGTGAGTGGGCTGGAAGGCACAGTGCAGGGTCATGCGGGTCTTGCCCACCAGAGTCCCGAAGTGGGGCCTGATGCTGAAGACACTCTCCTGGCAGTCAATGGCAAACTGGAAGTGGGCCGTGCAGTCTGACTGGTTCTCAATCCACAGGGTCTGCTCCGAGCGCTCCCTGAGGTTGACCCAGCTGAAGTTGACACAGTAGTGCTGCAGGGACACAGCAGGACCTGGCCATAAGAGACAGTGATTGTGCCCTGTCACCTAGGTGTCTTAGAAAGGGTACCTCTGTTGGGAGGACGCCTCCCTGGAGGGTGCCTGGAGACAGATGAGCAGGCTCCATAGGCCCAGGGACCCTGTAGCATGAGGGGAGCTCCACAGTTTCTAGGGGTAATGATAGGATGGTATGACAAGTGTCCAAAATGATTCCCCACTGGGCCACCAGAGGGCACCAGACACCTAGGCTGAGGGGCCAGGAGGAAGGCCTCTTAGGACCAGACATAGAGCTCTTGGGAATCCAGTGTGGGCCACTCCTGCCCAAGGAAGTGTGGTGTCCTGGGGCTGCCAGTACCTGTACTGAAACCAACAACTTGGAGCAGGGTTTGGGAGGCACTGCCAGAAGGCATGATGGAGAAGTAATCCACAGCTCTGCTGTCCAGGGTCTTGGGATGGAAGAACATTGACACTAGTTTCTTCTCTCCTGGGGGGACGATGCCATGGCCCATGGAGCATGAGAAGGCCTGGTCTTTGTCCAGAATGTCTGGGGCCATTTCAATCTTGAAGGGGGCATTCACCTGTAGGGCCAGGTTGGGAACAAAGGGCAAGGTCACAGGGTCAGTCTATGCATGGTACAAAGGGGCCCAGGCAAGGGGTGAAGCAGCTGGCATCCAGCCTATGCCCACTGGCTAGAGAGAGTGTGGAGTGAAGCTGCCTCCATCAGGAGGAAGAAGGGGCCAAGCCATGTGCCCCACCTTGGGCCACCCAGGGGGAAACTTATTCTTTCTTCCAAAGGTACTTTGGGATACAGCTATGGTCCTGGGGTTAGGACACTCTTGGGGTTTTTCTAAGAGTTCTCTGGGGGATGGGAGTGGGCAGAAGATACCTGAGCCCAGCCCCAGCTAGGAGGAGAGAGAAATGCAAGTTGTTGACAGCTGTTGACAAGTGTGCACATCAACACACATGTGTTATGCAAGGCTTCAGGTCAAAGATGTGGAGAAAAGGGGAGCATTCTGTAAAGGGGATGGACTTGAAGGGCAGCCAGGCCTAGGGTCCCTGAGTTCAGGCTTCTCCCTCCCAGCCCTGTGCATACCGCAGATGGGTTATACAGCTTGATCTGCCTCTCGGCGGTGCATCCCACGGCAACAGAGCCAAAGTGCAACAGCTTCTGGGAGCCCTCAGCATCTTGGTCCCCCGCTTGCTTGTGCCTTATGCTCACCAGCAGCTGGGTGCATTTAGCTGGGGCAGAAATGGGGAGTCTTGGAAGGAACCCACTTGGGCCTCTGTGGCCCCAGTTGACACCCTCTAGAAGGCAGGTGTCCCAGGGAAAAGCTAGCCTGAAATATGATGGAAGGCAAAAAAAAAAAAAAAAGGCAAGACCTGGGTGCTGAGGGGAGAGTGAGAGGCTGGAAGAGGCCCTGCAGGGCCAAGCCAGGGCAGGAGGTAGGGATGCGTGTAGGCCTTGAGACTCAGGCAGGGGTGGCAGCTGGGCTTTGGGCCTCACCTATAGCCTGCAGCTGAATGCTGCTCTTCTGCCTGCTGCCCGCCCCATACCAGCACGTGGCCTCAACTTCATGGATGACAGCTATGAGGGGCTGAAAGGTCACTTTGATCCGACAGGCCAGGCCTGGCTCCAGTAGCCCCGTGGTGGGGAGTATCTGGAAAGGGCTGGGGAACTCCCAGTTGAAGAAGGTGGGCAGGTCCCTGGGGGAGGCAGGGATTGGTCAGGCAAGAGGCTCTGAACAGCTGCCTGCACTTCTCACGGAACATGTCCGTCTCCCTACTCCCAGAACCCTCTTCCCAGAGTGCCCTCCTGCCACCACTGGGCCTTAGCCTCCCCCCTCACCCCACATTGTTCAGGCAGAACCAGGCCTCGGCTATGTCCCCAATGGCACACATGGGCAGCTGCAGGCACGGTGGGCAGACCAGCTTGTGGTAGGGCAGGGTGGCCCTCAGTTCTACACTGAACATCCCCTCTTCTTTCTCCAACCACAGCTGGTCTGTGTACTCCTTCTGTAGGGCAGGGGAAGAGGGAGAGGCGGTCAGTGGTCAGTGATACCCAGACAGTACTCATGACCACACGTCCTACCCACCCTCAGCCATACCCCCAACACATCCCCTGGCAAGTGGGCGTGCCAAGGCCCGCCATCCCTTCTTGTACTCCTATGCTGAGTTAGTCTCAGAGATTAGGGCCTCTTTTGTGGGAAACAAAGAATTGTGAGGAGCTGGGTATGGTGGCATATACCTGAGTAAACCCAGCCACTTGGGAGCCTGAGGTAGGAAGAACACTTGAATCCAAGTGATGTGAATCCAGGGATTTGAGGCCAGTGTGGGCAATATAGTGAGACTCACCCCCCTCCCATCTCACCCCTGTCTCAGCACAATTTTTTGCAAAAGATTTTGAGGAGATTTATGGGGAACCTAGAGCTTTTAATGGCAATACAGTATTATAGACTTTAGCCCCCAGTACCTGGGGGTGCACCCTGCTGTGTCAGATCAGAGCCTGATCCTCCTGGAAGACTTCCAGAGCTGGAGATTTGGCTGTAGCTGACAGGATGTGTGCATAGCATGGGAGGAGGGGGGGCTCCCCGTTGCTTGGTCCTGTTTCCTGCTCTAAGGTCTCTGCTCCCGTGCCCTTCCCACACCCCACTGCTCATCTGGTGGACTTTACCTCCTCCAGAGGCCGGAAGACAATAGGAAGCGTGAGGGTTATGCCCGGGCTCAGGAAGATGGGCTGAGGGATGACCGTGAAAAAGAACTTGGTATTGGGAGGCCTGCAGGAAGAAGCCAGAGGATGAGCACTTCGGATCTGAGCTCAGAACAATGAGAGGAGGCAGGAAGAGTGGAGGAGACCCTAGGGCTGAGGGGGCTGGAGTCTTGGGGCCACAGAGCAAAAGGCGACAAGTACATGGTGGGGAACATACGGGGCTGATCACCAGAGGAATGATCTCCCCGCCTCTTCCTGTTCTCACAGACCTTCACTAGAACAGAAAGGAACAGCATTTGTGCCTCTGATGGGGACAGTGGATGGCCTGTGAGGACAGAGCTGGGGACAATTCACCCTGGTTTAACAGAATCCCTGAGCACTGAGCCAGGAAACCAAGGCCAGGGAGGGAGCTGCCAGGGATGTGGAGCTGCAGAGCCCCAGTGAAGGTCAACATCACAGATGCTACAGACTCTTCAAGTATTAATCAGAAGACAACACTGTCAACAACTCCACACCAACCAATGATTCAGTTTAGATGAAATAAACACATTCCTAGGAAAACCTAACTCACCAAACTGACTCAAGAATTATACAATAAACTTTATGCCCACCCTAAAATCACCAAAGAAATGGAATATGTGGTCAAAACTCTTACCACATAGAAATAAGAGGCCAGATGGCTTCATAGCAAGTCTTATCAAACGGAAAAACAGTCCCAAGCCAAGCATGAGTGCTCACCTGAAATCTCAGTGCTCTGGAAGGCTGAGGCAGGAGGATCATAAATTCAAGCAACTTAGAAACTTAGAGATACCCTGTCTGAACATTAAAAAAAATTGTTTTTAAAGGGCCAGAAACGTAACACAGAGCAAAGGCCCTGGGTTCAATTCCCAATACTGCAAAAGAAAAAAAAGGAAGAAGAGAATTTCAGTCTTAAACTCTTCCAGATAATATAAAATGAAGAAACATGCTTCAACATATCCTCTGAAAGCATCATAATGTTGCTACAAAAACCTGACAGAGTCAGGAGAAGAAGGAAAAATTATAGACCAATCTTAGAGACAAAATATTACCAAGAAGAATTTAACAAAGTATAGAGAGCATATTCAGTCACATCCATTGGGATTATTCCAAAAACACACGGTTGGTTTAATACAAAAAAACTGATTACTATGATCTACCGTATTAACAACAGGGATCAAATGATAATCTCAATTTAAAAATTAGATAAACTTCGACGTGTCCATGAGAAAAGCACTCATAGCAAAATGTGGATAGACGAGAACATCCTTCACTTCCCTACCTGAAAAACAAAGAAAAAAAAACCTACAGGAGACAGCCATCTTCATGAACAAAATAAGAGTGCCTTATTAAACTACTTCTGTTCAGTACTTTTCTGTTTAACAGTAGAGTTAGGAAGGATAGAGAAAGAAAAAGTATAAAAATTTGGAAAGGAAAAAAGAAAAATGTCATTTTCCATATGAAATACAAATATGCAGGTAGGAAAAAAAGACTTAACAAATAAATTGATAGACTTAATAAGAGGCTTTACCAAGATTGCTGGATACAATGCCCATACATAAAGTTAATAGCATTAAAAAAAAAACTAGCAACAAACAGAAAATTAAAAGAATTTTAAGATATATCACCTCTGATATCATCAAAAATACTAAATACTTGGGAATAAAGCTAACTGAAAATGTGCATTATATTTATGGAGAACCTTTAAACTTTATTGAAAGACATAAAAGAAATTTAATAAATCGTCTGTAGGGATCCACTTTATTTGTGGATTGAAAGATTCAGTATTTTAATGATGCCTGTTTTCCCCAAACTGACCTCAGGGGTTCAATTAAATCCTGATAAAAATGTTTTTATGTGTATATATGATGAGCTGACATGAAGATTAAATGAAAGTTCAGAAGGTCAAGAATAGCCAGTATAATCTTTCTGAAGGAGGAAGAAGTTGGATGACTTACACTACCATATATCAATATTTACTATAAGATCTATACATAGTAAAGTCAAGACCAGCCTGAACTGCATAGTGAGACCGTCTTAAAAAACAAAACAAAAGATGTAAATTACAACATGTTAGAATTAGGGATTTCCACTTCCTTTTCTTGCAGATTTCAAATTTCCAACCTATTAAGTGAATTTGTGGACCAAATTTCAAAGGAACTTTTTATGTAGTCAGTTGTTGCATAAGGTGTTTGGTAAACAAACTCAGAAAATGGATTGCTAGAAATGTTTTAATATTTATCAAATAACTGACCATTTCCTAGAGAAAGATAAAACTTCTACAGCTTGTGCAAAGTTGTATGATAGGCCATGGTCTTTGCTTTCATGGTTTGGGTTGGGGACACAAGGGACTCAGAGCCTGACAGAATTGTCAGCTTCATTATAACATAATCTGAGGGTGTGGGACAAGGCTCACATCTAATGTTGTGTTCCTTATGCTCTGTTATATAGTGTTATTCATGATTAAACTGATCAACACAATTCATAGCAACAGAACCTTGAAATGCATGTGCTAGATTTATGCTGAAAGGATTCAATTCTCACGTTAGTAACAATTCAGGTTTTGTGTTTGTTTCCTAAACTAAATACAGGGTTAGGGTAAAATTAGAAAAAGAAATCTAATGTTTAGAGTGCCCATTTGTATTTTATTTTCTTTCTGAATACTTTTTTCATAGTTATTTGTTTAAAAATATTTTAAAAATCATTGCACTTTGGTCAGAATAATAAATATATCCTTTTTTGGTACCAGGGATCAAACTCGGGACCTTGCACTTGCAAAGCAGGCAGCGGAACCACTGAGCTAAATCCCTGGCCCCAATAAATATATCTTATAAATGTTAAAAAAATATTTACTATAAGCTCTAATCAATTCAATCCAAAATTGGTCCAGGGATGAAGAGGTAGTAGATCAAGGGAACAAAACAAAGAGTCCACATAGAAAGTATGAACTTTTCAGTAAATAGTGTTTAGATAATTGGACATTCAATTCTGGGAAAATATGTCATCAGGTCCCAATTTCTATCGTATTCACAAAAATCAATTCCATAGAGACAAACATGAAAGCCAAAATTATAAAATTTTTAGAAAATAAAGTAATAGGAAAATATCTTAATGGCCTACAGTTAAAAAAAGGACCTCTTTAAAAAGCAACAACCATAGCCAGGGATTTTGCTCAGTGGCACAGCGCCTGCCTTGAAAGTGCAAGGTTCTGAGTTTGATCCCCTGAACCCCCCCAAAAAAGCAACAACCATAAAAAAAATTGGTAACTCTGGTTTCTTTGAAATTAAAAACACCTACTCGGCCAAAGAGACAATAGAGGAAAAGACAAGTCACAAGGTGAGAGAAGATATTCACAACACACAACTGACAAAGGATTAGTATCCAGAATAATAATTCATATCAAAAAAAAGTGGAGGACTTGGAGGGACAGGAAAAAGGAGAAAGAAGCAGAAGAAAAACAATTTAACAAAAAACTGGGCACAGTGGGCCGGGGATTTAACTCAGTGGTGCCGCCTCCTGCCTCGCAAGCACAAGGTCCCGAGTTCAATCCCGGGTACAAAAAAAAAAAAAATGGGCACAGACTTCAACATGAATTTCACAAATGAAGAAATGCAAATGGTCAATAGCTTCTGAAAAGATACCCAACCTCATTAATCAATGATCAGGGAAATGTAGATTAAAGCTACAAGTTACCATTACAGGCAAAAATTTTAAAACTCAACAATAGCACTTATTAAGGACATAGAAAAATGGAAGCTCTCATGGCAGAATTATGAAGAGATAGAACTTCAGAGAACAGTTGACTTTTATCTACAAAAAGTGAACATGTATCTTCTAAGCTTCAGCAATTCTACTCCTATGTCTATACCTCAGAAAAACTCTTGAACCTGTGCAATTAGTACCAGTTCCAAACTGGTTGGTAACAGTCTCAAACTCGAAACAACCCAAACATCCCTCAATAGAGGAACAGATGAACACAGTAGGGTACAGGCATACACTGGGATATTTACCATGATGACAGGGAATGAACCATAGCTGCTTATGGATAAGTCTTACAGACATAACTGAGTAAAATAAATTACTGGTGGTAAATCCACTTGAGAAAAGCAGGGAAATGATTCACATAAAAGGAAGGATGGTGGTTCTCTTTGTGGATGGGGAGGGTGTGCCCACAGTGGGTAGCCCAGGATGAGGAAGACACTGTCACTATTCCATGACTTAATGTGGTCACTCAAATCCCACTTCATAGAATTCTTCTAACTGTACATGTTTTGAATACTCTTCTGATTTTTAGGTGACATTTGTAAAGTTGTTTTTAAAGGGGCTTGAGAGCTCAGGGGCTGGGCCCCTGGTCCCTCCATCTGGTACCTGTACTTCATCTTCTGGATTTTCAAGGTGAGATTTTTCAGAACCAGGTTCCTTGAGGTCTCCTTCCCCAGCTCCCAGCCTTTCCAGTGCAGTTCCTCAGGCACCTCAATGCCCCAGACAACCCTCTTCTTCACTCTGTCCTGCTTCTTAGGGAAGCACACTCGAGTGTCTAAGGGACTGGCAGGCTGTCAAAGTGGCAGAGAAGGAGGAAAAGGAAGATTTCATGAGCAGGGCAGGACTCAAAGAACCAGAGAATGACCATGATCTCCCTGCCTCTGGCAAGGAGTGAATGAGGACAACCCTCACACTAGGGATTTCCCCTGGAGACAGAAGGTGAGAAGCAGGCAGACCTGGAGTCAGACATTACTTCTTCCAAGTCATTGGAATGATTTGCTCATGAGAGACCTGGCCACTGAAGGGCCACCATCCAGCCACTCCATCCAGCACACAAATGCAGCCTTTACTGGTTGGTTCTGTTCCTCATGTACTCTCAGATCCCTTTCCTGCTGAGCCTCCATCTCCTCCTCCTCTTCTTCCTCTTCCTCCTCCCCCCCCCACTTCCTTTTCCTCCTCCTCCTCCTCCTGCTCCTCACTGCAGAAGCCTCTCCTAGCTGCGGTGGCCTATCCCAGGACTTTTCCAGACCATAGGATGCACCAGAGTTCCTTCCCCACCCTTCAGCTGAGGAAGGAACAGATTTGTCCATGACCAAGCCCACCCATACCCTTCTGGGGCATCTCTGAGTGCTATTCTTGGTGATGTCAGAGATGCAATGTGCCAGTGTTTCCCTGACTGTAGTGGACAAGTTCTTCATAGGCTGATCCATGACACTTATCTAAATGGTGTGATAAAAATGTACAGTGAATGTTTAAAATTTTTTTTAAAATTTTACAATAAAAAAAACCACACACTGCCATAAATCCCTCTCAAAATACCTCCCTTCCTTCCAACACACTTACTGCACTGTTCTTGTCACTTTTTCTTTTGGAAATAAAGTTTTAAAAAGAAAAATATCTTGTGATTTTTCTGAAGCAGTTCTGGAAGTCCTCTTTCACAAGTGTCTTTACCAGCTGTGACCAAAAATATGATGAATGCTGCTGTCAAGTGACATCCAAAGGAAATGCAGACTCATAAAAATATTACCATGTGTCCTCGTCTACCTTATTCACCTGATCTGGCACCACATTGCTTCTGGTTCTTCCCCAAAGTCACAATGACCATGAAAGGTAAATGTTTTGAATTGATTCATGACCTCAAGGCAGCCAGGATAGTACAGCTAAAGACACTCACAAAAGAGGACTTCCAGAACTGCTTCAAAAAGTGGCAAAACAGGGGCCAGGGATTTGGCTGAGTGGTTTCGTTGCCTGCTGCGCAAGCGCAAAGACCCGAGTTCAATCCCCGGTACCAAAAATAAAAAGTGGCAAAACAACAGGATTAAGATGTTTGAAGTGAGGAGGAATATTTTGAGGGACATTAATGGAAATGTGTCTCTTACTGTAATAAATTTTTTACAATTTAAACAGTTACCATATTTAAAAATCCCATTGTGTGTCTAAGGAGGGAAAAGATGGAACCCCCTGGGGCAGTAGGTGGAGGAGGGTTAAACCAAATACTTCTTCCTGCCATGGCCACTGCTGTGACACTCAGCTCATTGCCCTTTCATCTTCGACCAAGTATTGCTTGTCTACTGTTACATCACACAAAGATGCGGTCATCCATTCAACAAATATTTGTTGACTATTATGTGCCAGACATTGTGCTAGGTGCTAGGACTACAATGTTGAACAAGACTGACAAATCCCTTCTTTCTTGGACATAACATTCTCAATTTCAATATTTACAGAGAGCATTGGATGGCCAGTATGATATATTTTTTTCTCCCTTGTCCATGCAGCAAAGGTGACATGGATGAGGGTGGGTAATTTATTATAAATACCAGCTGCTGCATCAGTCAGGGCCCAACTGGAAAAGCAGAGGCCACCCTGGTGTTTAAAATACAGATTTAATGCACAGTCAGGGGCAGCGAAGTAACCCAGGGTTGGCACCATCAGGAATCTACCACCACACCCAGGAGAGGAAAGGCTATCAGGTTATTGGAGCTCTGAGGCCTGTCCGGCAGAAACCAGAATCACAAGGAAGATGCAGCTGCTGACACAGACATCATCCAAAGTAGAGAGAGGAAAAGAAATACCTGGCTTCTCCCTTCCATTCACCTTCCAATCTCCTGACCACTCAGAGCAGAGGGAGAAAGGCCCAGTAGGCACAGGTGGAGTGTGAGACACGGTCCACTGACCCTCAGTCCACAGACCCTCAGTCCACAGGAAGTGAATGCAAAGACCATCATATCTAAGGGAGCGCATGACACCCAGACACATCCTGCACCACGCACACACAGCAGAGACACAGGCTGCTCCAAATACAAGTCATTCTCCCTCATTAGACCATGGACAGCTGCACTGTCACACAGAATCACAGCAGTTGCAAAAAGTAAACAACATCTGCACATTGGTCAGACCCAAAGCCCTGGAGGTCAAGGCCAAAAGAGTTTTCTGAAGGAGGAAACATTAGCTACCAGGCCAGCCTCCAGCTTGCATTTCCCAGAAGCCCCTCGTGGCACCTCACTGCTGCCAGCATTCCAGTCTATCTGATGCTCCATCTGTGCAGGATCTAGTGCTGAGTATGGATGGGAGAGGAAGCTCCCTCAGATTCCCAAACCACTTCCCTGACACCCATGCCCTGTCTGGCCCCACCACACCCTGTACCACTGCCCTTACCAGGTCCTCACCTGGGCACTGATGTTGTTGCTACAAGCACTCATGCCCATGCTGCTGCCATTGATGGTGGGAACAGCTGTTGTGCTGGCACTCAGGCATGATTCACCAGAGCTCACAGTACAGTCTCCACTGTCTCCAGGCCTCATGATGGAGCTTGGGGTTGCCTGGGTAGGAGTTGGGCACCTGAAACATGAATCCAAGAGAAGCACTCTAACTAAGTCAGGAGCTCCTGCCAGATCCAGCTGGGAGCCAAGCTGGAAGAGCACAGGTGAGACAGGAAGGACATGAAAAAGAGTACGATGGGGAGACTCGCTGTGACCATCACTGAGATGGAGAAAAGGGCTTACTTCCCAGGTCTAGCAGGAAGTACACGGTGGCACAAGAGAAATGAGACTAGACACAAGATCTAGGGCTTTTCTGAGTGGTGAGTCACTAGGCTCCCAGGCAAGGCACTCAAAAGAAGGATTTGGGAGAAGGCCCACGTCCTATGCCTCTGCGGGACCACACTTGCTATTACACACCAAGCCCTGTGTGGGTCACAGAAATACATGCATTACCTTTAGCTGGCCTTTACTCTCTAGCTTCCTCTTGCCTGCTGTGAGAAGAGGACTAAGGGGCAAATGAGACTAATAGGTTCTTGGTATTCTGGGTTTCCTCTTCCAGAACCACACCCTGTAGTCCAGGTCTAAAGTAAATATTCACTGGAAAATGGATCAATTAAAGAATAAATGAAGCTGGGTGTGGTGGCACATGCCACGTGCAATCCCAGTACTCTAAGAGGCTGAGGCAGAAGGATCTCAAATTTAAGCCCACCTGGGCAACTAAGTGACTTAGCAAAACTATCTCAAAGTAAAAAATACAAAAAAGAGCTGGGGATATAGCTCAGCGTGAAAGTTCTAAGTTCGATCCCCAGTACTGCAAAAATGAATGAATAAACAAACCTTGAGCAGAGAGGTCCCTGGATGGACTGCAGTTGAAAATCATATGCAAATATATGCTTGTATTACATGCAAAGTATATGCAAGATGCCATGTACATGTACAGGGGCTGTTTTCCAGGAACAGCATCTACCTCTAATTCCTATGACAGTTTGTAATTATATGCAACTTGCCTTTAATTTACCTTAAAATTCACCTTTAGGAATTTATACGCTTACTGCAAACACTCCCATTTCCTTCTTCCTCATCCAGAACAAAAGATTCTGTTGACCCAGTTGTTCCTAGAAGGTTCTCCAAACCTTCTGGAGGGGGTCATCTTGTATTCCTTCACTCATTCATTCACAAAGCATTTACTGAGTGCCTACCTTGTAGCAGGCACTGTGCTACACATAGGACAAGACAGGCAAAGTTCTTACCTTCAGTTGTAAAGTGGATGCTCAGATGGAATCCAAGAAATGCAAGCTGGGGAGGCAAGGAGAGTTCTATCAGTTTTGTGCCAGTGATGGCTTTGCGGTCCTGTCCCTACTCACTGATGTCTTTGATTTCAGAGGATTCTACAGAAAGCCACTACTTTAGGGTTCTGAAAAAAGTCTCCAGTCAACACATGAAATTATCCCAGAGAGGGCATAGAAGAGATGTGAGGTGATGGAGTAGTAGGCTCCACATTTAATCCCATACTGCTCAGTTTTGATTCTCTGACTTTCCCTGCTGTAGTAGTCCACCCCAGATGGCGCGGGGGGGGGCGGGCAGCAATACTAGCCCTAGGGCAAGGGAAGGAAGGTTCCTGTTTCTCCTCAGACTCTCTTGGGGATAGACAAATTTCTTCATCTCCTGGAGCCTCAGTCTCCTTCCCTATCAAATGAGGGTTGTCCTATTTCACAGTTACTTGAAACTTGAATGATATAGGGGATTTGAAGAAGCATTAAACAAACCTATGCTACTATAATTAATAATCATAACTTACACTTCCAAAAGACTTCCATTTCTGCAATCATAGTAAAGAGTCCAGGTAATTGTGGGGGGGGGTCCAATTTTCTAATCTCAAAGACTTAGAAAAATATATCACTAGGTTCCTATATTTGCATAATTTCCGACCTTACCAGTTCCCAAGATGATTAATGAAAAAGTGAATGGCGGGTCGACGTGTAAGCTGAAGAAAAAATAGGTAAAAATGAAGGAAACAAAATATACTTACAGCTGTTCCTCCTTTGTTTTGGGGATCTCCGGTCTGATTGACCACGTCCAAGTCACAGTCTCACAGGGCTCTATGAGAAGATGGAGGAGCCCCTTGACCACGATGTCCCAGAGAAATCAGTCTTTTAAGACAAATACCTTCTCCCTGGCCACTCGGTGCGGAACTCACAGCGCCGCCGTGTTGTTGTCTCCATAGATACAGGACGCGCAGGAACCAGCGTCTTCTGGTATCCCAAGGCAACGACGGCAACGCCAGTGAGTCAAGCCGCAGAGGCGCGAATGCACAGCCTAAGGATTTTTTCTTGCGCTTTGCATTTGCGGTGTTGGAAGTGGAACCCAGGGCCTCGTTCGTTTAGGCACATGCCCTGCCACTAAGCTACACTCCCAGCTGTGCCACTCAAGTTTAATCCTCATAGCGCTCAGTTTTGTTTCTCTGACCTTCCCTGCTGTGGTAGTCTGTGGGTTTTTTACTGGTGGTAATATGGAATTATTTATATACGTTCCCTTAATTGCCAGAATCATGCCTTTTTGATTTTGTTGGACTTGACACCCGAATGGAAGTCATTCCTGTCCTCTCCCACATGCGATGTTGTCACAGGATCAGAATTTCATTCCTATGATTACAATTATTAACTTGAAAGCAGCCCTCAGTTATTTCTTACTTGCATAGTGCTTGCAAATGGATTCCTTGCTGCAGTCCTTGGTATCATCTCCTAGCATTTCTTCTGGCCCAGCACCAAGACAAATTAACTGTTTTGAAGAGATCCAAAGATTAGTGTAAAAAGCAATTCTTACATATAAACAGTATTTTTAGGCCGGGGATTTAGCTCAGTGGTTCCAGCGCCTACCTCGCAAGCGCAAGGTCCCAAGTTCGATCTCCGGTATGCGCCCCCCCCCCAAAAAAAACAACAAAACCCCCCCAGTATTTTTAGAAGCCCATTTGTTCATTTGTCCATGAGTGATTTGGGGGAAGAAGGCTCTCATTTGGTGAAGACCCTTAGGAAGGTGAAACTGAAAATCTCAAAGTTCATTAAAAATGTTTCACTGCCTCCATCAGTGATCCAGTTTCCTCTCAGAGTGAAGAGGGGGTGTGTGGTTATGGGGATACAGCTTAGTGAGTCTAGGGGTAACCCCAGAAAATAAATGCTCATTTGGGAAGTTTGGGGATTGACTTATGAAAGGGGGAAGACAGACCGGGATGACAAAATGACCTGAGTTGGCCTGGGAGAGCACATGGGCAGAGGCAGGCAAGACTGGAGGAACGGGGCAGACCAGAGGGCCTGTTGAGTTATACTGCATAATCGGGCCTGGAATTTTCCTGAGATTAAGGAATGTGGGGCTCAATGAGTATTTCACTGCTTTTAATGGGATTCTCAGAATCTGAAACCTGTACTTTGGACACAATGGCTTTTATGCTGTTTACAGTTTCTATAATGATTTCCTTTTTGTATTTCACCCATGTTCTTTGTGAAGTGAACAGCCTGACTCAGATGGATCTTAGGGACAAGAGAGGGACCTTTCCATTTTTAGGGCAAAAAGAAATAGAGGGAGTTGAGCCAAGGAGCAGGGTTTGGTGAAAACATTAGGAATCCCACTAAGAAAACCCTGACAGGGAAGGAAATCTCATCCTAGGAGCACTGCACCCTTACACTCCCAGTGGGGGAATCTCCCTCCACAGCTCTCCCTTGCTCACACTTGATGGATTCTGGACTTGGGGTGATGAAAGGAGATGGCTCCTCCTGCTGCCCTTTGTGGTCTCTGCTTCCATGTGATACTAACTGCCTCCTGGTAGCTCTGCAGCTAGTGACCTTAACTGACATGGAGACTCCCAGGGTAGCCTCTGCCTGCCTTCTAGACTTTGCCTAGGGAGGCAAACAACATGGGTTAGGGTTAGGGTTAGGGTTAAGCACAGCTGAGGGCTGAGCCTGAGAAAAAGGAAGCAGAAGTTGGACTTGCATTGTGAGTCCCTTTTTTATGCACCTAGAACTTGTAGGAGATAACAGATGCTGGGTCCTGATAATCATGTCTTCCTTGGACTCAAAAAAGACCACAGTAGGAGATACTGTTTGGTTTAAGGCTGTGAAGAAAGATGAATGGCGATTCATGAAATTGATGGGAACAAGATGCAGGAGAAAGGAAGAAGAATGGATGGGAGACGTGCTTGGAACCTCCTGGCCTAGAAGCTAGGGCTGAGGGAGAAGAGAGACAAAGCACACTCAGTGATGTGGACTTCAGCACACATAAAAATATCTTTGCCTAGCTGTGTTTTCAAGTACCTTCTCATGCCCCATGACCTCTGTGTAATCCTGATCAGGGAAACCATGGGGACCTGGGACTAATCTTTCCTATTGTTGGCTGTATGGCCCTAGAAAAGTCACATAATCTCTCTGAGCCTTAGCTTTCTCATATTTCTTGGGGATAATTTTCAAAAGTCAATATGAAGATTAAGTAAAGCTGATTCAATGAGTGAACACACACACACACACACACACACACGGGAGGTCACTCTTTAAATATGAGGTTGCCATAAATGAGCCACTCAGCTTCCTGAGACCTTCTCTTCCTACCAGCTCCTAGCTTCTCTAAGCATACTTGGAGTGGGAGAGGTTTTTCTCCTTTCCACACCCTCCTTTGTTTCTCCAAGGAGGAGACTGCCTTGCTGCTCTGAGGTGGAGAAAGATAAAAGGAGATGCTGCATTGTTCTGCTGTCCAGTTGACCAGTTCACCCAGCGCCAGCACTTACAGCATCTTCTCTCACTTCCTCTCACTCTGAGATTCTGGCTGCATTTTGATGGTTGATTGTGGAACCAGGTCTACATCCAAGATATGCTGGAGGAAGGACATGAGGAGGTGAGCCCTGTCACAGAAGCTCCTGGCCTCAGAAATAGGTGGGGTAAGTTTTTGTGGTCCAGTCTGGAATGGAGAGAAAGAGAAGGCTGCAGCTAAAAGGCCCACTGGGGTAGCTCAGAGCTGGAACTCAGAGCATGCATTAGAGGGCCAGGGTCCTCTGTAGATGCTGGAATACAAGTGTATCAAGAAATTGGTCACACTTTCAGCATGAAAAGGATGCCAGAGCACAAAACTGGCAGGGATTTGAGGGTAGATAGGTCTATGGCAATAGAATTCAAAGAAAATTATTCTAACCTGTCTGGAAGTACCATAAGGTTTTTGAACTCTCTTGTGTAAACCTGGGCTTGCTAGATAACTTTCTGTATTCATTGTCCCTACTACTAGGTAGAAAGACACACAGGCCAATAGCAAGGAATGGAGGGAAAAGGAGATGAAGTTTGATCCCAGAAGACAAAAGTTCAAGTCCTGGTTCCAGTTTTTGGGGGGTTTTTTGTACCAGGGATCGAACTCAGGACCTTGTGCTTGTGAGGCAGGCAGTGGAACCACTGAGCTAAATCCCCGGCCCTGGTTCCAGTTTTTAGAAGTATGCCACACAAATTGTTAACCTCCCCAAATCTTACTTTCCTGATCTGAAAAATGAAAACTAAAGGGGATAGTATTCAATAAACTTAAAAGCTGATAAAGTACAGGCACTGACCTATGAAAGTGGACACCAGATAGCCTTAGAACCAGAACATTGTCCTGGAAGTCCATTCTGTGCCAGGCTTAATTCTTTACTTCTCGCAGTCATGAGAAATACTGGGGTATGGAGACAGGCCTGGGAGAGCAACCATAGCAGTGAGGGGCTCAATAATTGTTTTGTTTTGTTTTTTGGTACCGGGGATCGAACTCAGGACCTTGCGCTTTTCAGGCAGGCACAGCACCACTGAGCTACATCCCTGGCCCTCAATAACTGTTTAACAATTGATACCAACTGGTGCCTGTTTACAGAATTGACAACCAATATAGCTATAGTATTCTAGCTACAAATCAGGTGTGTGGACACATCCCTACCTCATTGCCTACTGGCAGTTATTTATTTTGGCACGAAGTCTCCCAAACTTGAAGTCTCTGACTCTTGATTGCTCCTAATCAATGGAGGATCTGTCACCACATCTAACTGTTCATTTCCTTCCTATCTGAGCAGGGCTCTGTCTCTGTGGTGGCTTTCCTGCTGTCCTCGCCCATACCATCTCCTGGCCTCCACCTCTGCTCCAGTATGGAGAAGTGCTAGCACCATGGACAGCTCCGGCCTATCCCATTCCCTTCCTCCTTCTTTCTGCCTGGTGTTCCTCTTCCCTCAACAACTCCAGCCCAGAAACCCTGCAGTGTAAACTGAATAAGGGCATCCCTGGGAAGACAGCTCAGTGGAGAGGTTGGGAAAGAAGCCTGGAGCCATCAAATTGGATTTGAGTTCCAACCCCAACCCCATCAGCTGTATGATCCTGCTCCTTCTGTAAGACCCAGGGAAAACCTTAACAGCTTCCACAAAGGTTGTGAGTTTTAAGTAGATAAAAACTTAAGGAACTTAGCATGGTGCCTAGATCATTATAGTTCTGAGTAAATGAAAACCACCATTAACCTGTGACTTTCCATCCTATTTAATCCCTCCAACCCTTTTTTCAATCCATTTCTGACCAAGTGTTGAGTAAAGGTGTCATAACTTGACCACTGCTTGGCCTCAGGTATGGTAAGGAAGCCCACCTTTGACTGGTCCATGAGGTTCACATCATCACTAGATTTTTTTTTTGTACCAGGGATCGAACTCAGGTCCTTCCGCTTGTGAGGCAGGCAGCAGAACCACTGAGCTAAATCCCCAGCTCTATCACTAGATTTTTTTTAACACTTAAAATTTTTTGAGAGCCAGGCATGGTGGCACATACCTATAGTCCCCAGAACTTGGGACACTGAGGTATGAGAATTGCCACAAATTCCAGAAAGACCCTATCTCAAAAAAACAAAAAAAAATTGGACTTAATTTTAGATGTACAAAAGAGTCACAGAGTTCTCATAAGCACTTCTGCCAGTTTCCCCTTGGATTGACATCTTGCAATGACCATAGAATGTTTACCAAAACTAAGAAATTAACCTCAGTGCACTAAACACTACTGACAGAAGTATAGAATTTAAGATTTCACAAGTTTGTCTCTGAATGTCTTTTTTCTTCCCAGTGTCTAATCCAGGATCTCGCCAGCACTCCGGTGTTGTGCCTCCTTGGTATCCTCCACTCTGGGGCATTTCTTGAGTCTTTCTTTGATTTTCATGATCTTGATGCTCTTGAAGAATACTGTCAGTTATTTTGTAGAACATTTTCTCAATCT